TATTTCATCTGCCTCGTGTTTGCTCACGAACATTTCATACTGCAGATACTGGTTTTAGTACCTCTTCCCTGACAGACTAAACTAATTAGTCCATTGGTAGCAGCTCTGAGGCTAGGATGATTACCCAATAATGCACGGATTCTTGTCAGTGCCAGCTACAACTGTTCATGTGCTGCTAGTTCATGACAGGAGGCGGTTAATAGAGCTACTGAGGAGAACAAAGCAAACGGGCAGTGTAGATGGCGAATGAGGCTGCTGGAAATGTCTTGCTGTTGAGTTAGCCTGGACAGAGCCTTAGCTAACCCTGGGCTGTAGGTGCGGCAATCCAAATAACTGTTTTTAAGGCTTAGCCTTGTGGTTTGTGTCTGAGCTTTATAATGTATTTTCCAATTGGACATGCCATGTGTCTACCCAAGAACATACACATGCATGTCACATTTTATTAGTTTCCCTGTACTTAGGACTTTTTGGGTATATGCAGCAGTCATTTGTGGTCATAAGGAACTGTAATATTTTTAATTGGGATGCTAGCTTTATTTGTTTTAGAAATCCTTTCATTGGGGGGGCTCTTACAGCTCTTTAGAACAATTCATACATCAATTGTATCAAGCATATTTGTATATATGTTGCCATCATCATTTTCTAAACATTTAGTTTATATTTGAGCACTTGGTATCAGCTTCTCCTTTTTCACACTTTCCCACCGAATTTGAACTGTTTTGAAAATTAAATATTACTAAATCAAATTAATGAGACTAAAGTAGTCTTAACTTTTTATGAGGGTGCTCAACCGGTCTATGCAACTATTTAATTAAAAGACCAAAAAACAAAACAAAACAAAAAACCACCCCAATCCAGCAACAACAACAACAGCAACAAAAGGGCTTAAAGTTGCCTATATATGGGCTCCAGAAGTTCTCGCCTGTTTGGTTCACATACACAGGGTGTGCTGGATCCGCCTCTCCAGTGAGGCCTCCTCTGTATTTCAAGAAGGTGGGACATGTGAGGCCACGGGGACAGGCTCCTAAAATTTACACCCAAACACAATTGTTAGAAGTAGAAATAAAGTGTCGTTTACGTGTGTTTTTATTTCCTTTCCACTCTGAAGATGTACACGAATTAAGCCACTTAAAGTTTCACTTTTCTCAAATGTGGCACTTTTTTTTTTTTTTTTTTTTGCAATAGGAAGACGAGAATGTGTCCTCTGCCCCTGGTGGCCCAAGTCAGCATTTACATGGACCTGGCACCGGCTTTTGCTTTGATTCTAGGTAATTCTCTTGTCTTTGTAGCATTTCTTCAAAGTGTGGTCCCTGGCACTTGCTTGTTAGAAAGAACTGATCCCGTCATTCAGGGCAGAAGCCTGCACACCGAGAGAACAAGCCATTGGGCATGCTGTCATCATTTAAAAACCAGAATTATGGATGCTTTTAGGAAACTGAGTGGCATTTACTCTTTTACTTTCCACCAAATAACTTTGTTATTTAAAAAGGAAAGAGTTCTTGCACCAAGCCTAATTTCATATAACGTGATTGTGTTTTTGAAAATATAATTTAAAGACAAGCGGATTTTTTTTCTTTTGAGCATGGGGGAGGATGTGCTTAGAGCTTTTATATGTTTCTTAATTGTCTGCCAGCGCTTAGGAGTGGGAGATGAAGTTTCTTTAGTAACCAGACTCCAAGGCATTTTATATATACTCGAGTACAAGCCGACCCGAATATCAGCTGGGGCACCTAAATTTACCACAAAAACTACATTAAAAATGTGCTGAAAAACTTGGTTTATACGCGACTGTATACAGTAAGTTGTTCCGTATATTAGGTAACTGTGTCATAATACTATAAATCAGTGCTGTTTAGAAATTTGTAACGTTTTCCTTTTTGTTGCAGCTTTGATGCTCACAAGAAGTGTCCTCTCTGTGAGTTAATGTTCCCCCCGAACTATGATCAGAACAAGTTTGAAGAACATGTGGAGAGTCACTGGAAGGTGTGCCCCATGTGCAGTGAACAGTTCCCGCCTGACTATGACCAGCAAGGCTTTGAAAGGCACGTCCAGACCCATTTTGATCAGAATGTTTTAAATTTTGACTAGTTACTTTATATTAATACAGCTTAGCAGGTGGGGGTGGAGGCATCACTTCAAGTAGACCACTCATGAGACCCCAAGGTCAGAGTCTCACCTCCCATGCACCCTCTTCCATACTTTCTCACCAAGAGCTCCTTTGCAGTTTGCTGTTGCTAAGGGCCAGGGCTAGTCTTTAGCTTATCAATAAACATAATTTTAACTCTGTTGATCTTACCTGCTTTAAGAAAAGGTCTTGTGTATTTTTATTTATTCCCAGTTTGTGAAGTTGTATGGATAAAGGACACAGATTATTTTAATGTTACCACACCGAAACAAATATGTATAGTGTATTAAGATTATTTAGCAGAATATTTACAAGTTGGCCTTCTTGATTAAGCATGACTACTAAATATTATGTGTAACAAAAACCATTCCTTCCAATAGTCTTGTACAGTCATTCTTTGAATACAGAAACCTCCAGATTTGATTGAGCCTGTGAAGTTACATAGGCCACCCCGAGTTCCAAAGGTCAGATTTAAGTAGTTACCAGAACCAGTCCCCTGGGAGGCTGCCCATTACACTGAAAATCTGACGCACATATGGTTTGTAATCACAAATGGCATTGCTTTGCAACACACATCATAGCATTTACTATCCTTGTTAGAGATGTGTCAGTGGAAGGTACAATATTAAGTATACGCTACATACTTACAGACAAACATTGGATTACCTGATGTTGGCTAGCAACTGCTATGAGCTGTTCTGACCAGGGTACAAATTTGAGTAGCAGTCAGTCTCAGGCATAGAACAGAACTTGTTCCTAACTGCCAGTCAAGCTTCACTCTCTAGAAGTAGAGCTGTACGTAGACTGAAACGACGTGTTTAAAGTAGAGCAGAAATCATTGTGATGTGTGTGCTTTAACAAGAGAAAGCATATTTTGCTTGGAGCACTGATTTCGAGTAACTTTTTTTAGAATAACTGAATGATGATTTTTAAACACTCTTGATGCTGTATTTATATCTAATGAGAAGACAATAAAGTACAATTGCATTCATATTGGGAGGACCTACTAAACAGTGGCATTGATCCTGTCAAATCACAGAATATGTATTAGAATCTTTGCATTTTCCTCAAGAATGTAACTAACTTTGAAACAATAGTTATCAGTAAGGGATTAAAAGCTGTAGCGTTTATTAATGTCTGTCCTGCTGTATGGAAATTCTTGTGATCATTAAAGGGCGCCTTTTTGGAGGTTTGTGGCTAATTTTCTTGTTGTCGTTTTAATTTGTGATGGTTCTCCTTGACCTAGGACAACGGTATCTCGTTGTGGTCTGGGGCCTTTACAAAAAAATCTTGAACCTTATTCATCTTTTTAAATGTTAAAGAGTTATTTTTTTTTTGGCATTAGATTTCATGGCTTTTGTAGTTCTCAAAATATTTAAGGTTGCCCTTAGTATACTAGCTGTTTAGGATGCCAATCTAATATTCAGACATGGGGGCATTCTGGGTTGCTGCTAATTATTAACTATGTACATACTATGTTGCTTGTATTTGTTTTGAGAAGCAGAATTTGCCTATTGCTGGGACTGTTTAAAAAAGTTTGAGTATATGGCAAATACTCAGTGGTTCTATGATAAGTAGAATATACTCAGGTTAAATTGTTCAGTGAGTGAGCTTTTCTTTTGTATCAGTTAATAATTATAGGTCGTGCTAACTAAAGTATCCTTTGACCCTCATAGCACCACTGCTGCTGATAGGACCTCGTTTATCTTCTGACCGCATTCTTTTAAATGGTTGTTGGCCCACACTTAAATAATTTGTTTTGGGTAGAAAAGCTTTGCAGTGTAATGAAAGTTGAAAATCCAAAGAGAACTAACTCTCCATACATCAACATGAATTATTTAAAAATAGGCAGTCTAAGCTAGAATAAGGAGCTGAATGGTGTGTTGGGTCCCGTGATAAACTTGATGGTGGTTTTCATAATGGATGCTAATGAAAATAAAGAGCCATGTTTATTTTGGGTCAGAGGCAGTTTATTTTAAATGTGATTTCATTTACATTTATAAGCAGCTTTTCTTGACAGGAATTTTGATCCACTAAGTTGCCTTCAGTTCTAAAACAAACCTGTCACTTTCAAACTTAATGTGCTCTGTCCTCAACAAAACATATGAAAATATAATTTAAAGCACAGTTCTCACAGACACAGTACAATACATTCACTATACATGGTATAACAAAATATTCCCATCCTTACTGGTGTAATACTGTCACAATGAATAAGTAAATAGAAACTGGAATTTGTTTTATACTTGAAAAAAAGTTACCATGCATGATGACTTTTATGACTGTTTAGCTGTGGGACAATTGATCAGCCTGTAGTTTCTTGAACTAGGAGCAACGCTAAATGATTATTGGCCTAAACATTTTGTTGTCTGTCAATTGTAGGTGGATATGAACTAGCCAAGCAGGGCCTCCTTTTGCACCAACTAGTTGCTTCTCACGTCTGGATCATCCTGACTTGAAGCACACAGGATAACATCATAATCAGAAGCGAGACTGCTCTCCAGAAAGAAAGCTGAGGGAACGTTTTAGAGGGCAGTGTCTGTAGAACCTTCGAGCCTTTGTATCCCTCCTGGTGAGAGTCATACAACTTAGGAAGGTAGAAGCTTTCCCATCTGGCTAACAGAATGTTACAAAATGTCTACAGAATGGAGGTGGGACACCTTCCCAGCTGTAAGACGTGAGTATGTAGGAAAGCTCTTTTACAAGTGATTCAGATTTGCCTTTTTCCAGTTTGAGGGTCGGGCAGTTTGCTGCCTCAAAGCCGTTTTTATTGCATAATCAGGCAATTGGTAAACTCTTGTGTTTAAGGAATAGCACTTGGGAGAAAAGAACACTCAAGGCATGATGGTCCCAACGGTGAGCAAAACTCAGGAAGGGTCCAGATGGCGGCTGCACTAATGGGTCACACCAGTCATTCTTTCTCTAACCACGTGCTGCAAGAAGCACTTTATGTCAGTAAGGCTCGATTTTAGTTCAGCAACAGGTTTTCTAACCCTACACAGACCATCTCAATGGGAGTGCAAGACGTCTACAATATGATGGGAAAGTGCCTTAGAAAAATAAAAATATACTGAACTTGAGGAAGAGGCAATGTGGGTCTCAACAAAAACGCTCCTCTCTGTAACATGCCTACAATTTTCATTCTCATTTGCAACCCATCGGTCTGTTAGGGCAGTGGTTTCAAGAATTGGCAACACATACACACGAAATCTGTTGGCAATCGAGAACAAAGTGCTTTTAAAAACCTCATCTGAAAATGAAGATAGAACTAAATTTCACACAGACAAAAGTCGCAATTAAGCATTTCCAAGTGTTTGCTAACAGATTGCCGGGAAACATCTTTCACTAAACCAATACCTTGGTCCACAATGATGGGCAGGCGTATGTGTGGTCTCTCGCGCCCAGCAGGCACTCAATGAATGTATACTGAAGGAATGCGTGAACCCAAGAGACGAGTTTTGTACAAAAATGCCACTGATGACACTAAAATGATAGGAAAGTCAGATGGCAAGATTTTCAGCTTTTCCAAGGGGAAAAAGGATTTGCAAGAGAATATAAAACACAGAAAGCACACCTTTAATGTATGTTATTTAAATATGAAAATATTTTTCGCATATTATGTTAAACATTCTTTATATTTCCACTACCTAAAGTCTCTCTACTCACAAACGAACTCCACTCTGTAAGGCATGGTAACCAGTTGGATAATGGAGGAATCATTTTGGTTTTTAACAGACATGAGTTGATGTGTTGAAAAACTTCAATCACATTACAATAATGGGGAAACGCCTCAGTGCCGGCCCCTCTGCCCCCGGAGCGACACCACTGCAGAGTCCGACTGAAACAGGTGCAACATGCCCTCAGCTTTGTTTGGGGGGAGAAGTGTGCTGAAGAACCTAGAGCTTTTTTTTTCTTTTGTTTCTGTTTAGCACCTTGGATCAAAGTAATGAAAATGGGTTTGATGGATACATGTGCAAATGTACAAAATCAGTAACTCTACAAAGGTACATCATTCCAAAATTACAGAAAAAATTTAAAGCATGCATCTTAACTCTTTTTCTTTAAAGGGTTGCTGAATGCTTCCCCTGAAAAAAAGGTGGCTGTTTTCAAAGTCAGCAACTGCTGGTGAGGATTCTTGGCACAGTCCGGAGCAGCACGTCACTGCTGCATCTTCCTGATGATCTCAGCCGACACCGGGGGGTGGAAGTTGATTGTGTGGTGCCGCAAGCCCTGAGCTGTCTTGTAACTCTTCCCACAGCGGCACTTGAATGGCTTGCGGACACGGATCTGTGTTCTGTGACCATTCTTGGCGTGGTACTTGATGCCGTTCACATTCTGTGGAGAAGACACAAACAGGTGCCTGTCATTCACTGCCATCACGTCAATGCTGACTCAGTGACACCCCCCGCCCCCCCGCTCCTGCCCTGGGTGGAGGGTGGGTTCTGAGACTTGCTGAGAGCAGAAAGGTCAGTCTTTTTCTCCCCCTGGATGTCCCAGAGGCGATCCAACTTGACGAAACCCCAGGGGCCTGCTGCAGAGACGTCTGTACCTGCAAGCCACTGTGAGGGAATTCTGAGTATGAGGCATGACCCTGGAAGTGAGGATACTGATGACTTTAATTTTACATAAAATTGAACTCTGGAAGAAGCACAGTTCCTTCTGCCTGGAACTTTGTACCCTCTCCATTTTTCTCCCCCTTCTGCTCATGAGAGTTAATGAATTAAACCTACACAAATCGCAGGATGGCCAACAAAACGCCTTTCTAAAGTGAGTGAAGAGCACAGGGAAACTCATCTGTCATAACTGCTGTGGAGCTCGGCTTGAAGACTGCGTTTACACAACTGTCAAAATAGTACCCTGCTACCGTCGCTTGGATCTCTGTCCGTTTTCTACTCTGCATTAAGTCAGCGTGTCCAGGTCCCTGTGAGAACTATCTGCTGCTCAATGCTGTACACAATGAATTTACACTGGCTTCTGTGTTATATTCTAAACACGACGCTGAACTCTTAAGCTATTTATTTGATGGATGTCTTTACAAGTGTTCCACACTTTACATTGTCCTACAAATCGTAAGTGGTACATACAATGTCAAAGTACTTTAGGGCTCTTGTGTACGAATATAAATTCTATGTAGTAGTCCCTAAATCCACTATGCATTTACTTAGCAAATTTAGCGCTCACCCCAGTTCACACGATTCGGAAACAGGTTCATGGAAGACTGACGTGATGACGGAGCATAATGTCTTAAAAAGTCCACTGTTGCACGGGAGCAGGAGAAGAAAGATTGACGTGAAGTTGTTGGTCACGGGCCACTAAACGAGTGTTTCCTGAAGTCCAGTACTGCCTGACTATCCCCTGGGCCCAGCGGCAGCAGTCACCCCACAGTCTACTTTGTTGCTTGAGCGATGAATTTGAGAGGTCAGCAATTCCCAGCCACATCCCCCTCTCTTCAGGAAAAACTGAGAAGGGCCGCCTCGTTCAAAAAGCCCTCACAGGCTGTTACTAGTGAACTGTCCTTGTCGAGATCAGAGCGGCACTAATGTTAGTCATTCTCTGCAACAGCATCCCGATTGCCTTCGTTGAACCCATAGAGTTGCCAAACGCGTGGCCTGCCTGTTGATTGCTCAGAACATCGCCCACCTCCTGGCACCACTCCTTTCTGCAGGCTCATGCGGGGCACCTCACCAGGGCTGCTAGAGGGACCAGGAGGATCAAGCCATGCAGGGGCGGGACACGGACAGAATCAGGTGCACTGACAGGTAGAGAACATGTGCCCAGCAGCTTCGCACTGTACCAGCCACCTCAGCTGGGACTCAGGTACGGGCGGAAATCGCAGGTAGTCGAGCCTTAGGACGACTCCTGCCACCAGCACTACCTTAAACTGCAGCCAAATGCGAGAACCACCTGGCTTCGCCCAGTCAACACATACCACGTACCCCCATAGAAGATGAGTGGTTTTTAAGCCACTTGGAACAGTTTGGTGGTCACTGAGGGAAAAAACTGAACTTCTAGGAAATAGTAATAGCATGATACCAAGTCCCCTTGTTTAAAAATGACAGGTGTTTATGTGGTAGCAAACACTGAACGCTCCGTGGAGTCCCGCTCTGTGAAGCAAGGTTACTAGAACATTTGATTCTATGGATGATGTTTGCACAGGGAATTTGTTGTAAGATGACCATGAAACGCAGCCACTTCCGTGCCCGGTACCGCTCACACCATGTTAGGAACGAGGTTTTTAAGATAAGTATAACTTCCACCAGACTCCGTATTTCACTCAGGTCTGAGTTTTTGTAGTTCATTCGGCTATAGAACTTTGGAACCAGGAACGCTACAAGAAGCTAGTCCAACACAAACCAGGCCCAGAGTTGACCAGAGGGATTTTGAAACTCTAGAAGAGTGTAACTGAGCATGTAAAACAGAGAAGATCACTTGCTAACATGAGGGGTTTCCCGTGTTTTTTTCGGTGCATCCTTTATGTATTCTTAAGAAACCGCCCCCCTGCCCCCCCAATATCTTAATGTTACTCTGGGAGCCTTCATGTGTCATGAGATATCTTTAAAGAAATCATTTCATTGGGGGCTCGTACATCAAGCACATTTGTACATTTGTTGCCATCATCATTTTCAAAACATTTTCTTTCTACTTGAGCCCTTGCTATCAGCTCATTTCCCCCCTCCCTCCTTCCCTCATGAACCATTGAAAATTTATAAATTATTATTTTTTCATGTATTACACTGAACGATGTCTCCCATCCACCCACTTTTCTGTTGTTCCTCCCCCTGGGAGGGGGTTATATATAGATCCTTGTGATCAGTTCCCACTTTTTCCCCACCTTCCACTTACACTCTTTGTATCACTATCTTCAATATTGGTCCTGAGGAGCTTATCTGTCCCGGATTCCTTGTGTTTC